CTACTCAAATCCTCATAACACAAGAATCATCCTGAGATTTTTGTAACATAGGTAACTTCTCAAGAAAAGAGAAGGAAAGATTTAACCACATTAAGTACCATACTTTGTCCTGTTTATCATCTTGCATGGAAACAAACACATAAATGTCAAATGGGACTACCTACCTATGCATTAAATACTTCCTAGTACTGTTAGTAGTTTAGATTGTTGAGTTTATTAAGATTTCATAAGAAACTGTAAGATGCGTTTGTTTTAAAAGTTTTTTTGACCTATAATGAAATTTTTAATTTTTAATTTTTAATTTTATTTAGTTATTTTTCAAGTACAGTTTTTTGTCTATTTTGTTTTAAAAGTTTATAATTAAGAAAGCAAATTCCTAGAGCTTTCTTCACTTAAGCTGAATTCCATAATCCTTTGTTTAGGTTACATTTTTCTGAAAACTCTCTCATGCCCTCTGCTGTCTATTTATTGAATATAAATTATCAAAGTAAAATATTCATGAGTATGTATGTATAGATGATAAGAAATCCTCCACCTGTTTCATTATTTGAGTACCTCTTAGGAAGCAAAATATACTAAAAAATGCTTTAAATATTTTAAGTAATGAATGCAGAATGTTTACTATTTAAAACATAGAAAAATGAAGAAATAATTCATTATCTCACTACTTAGACATAACCATTGTTATCAAGTTGTATATTTTCCTCTGGAATTGTTTCTATCGAATATAGTTTTAAATATTTTAAATATTCTATGGAATATTAATTTAGTGATATTAAATTAATAATTTAGTAATATTAAATAAATTTAGTAATATTAAATTAAATTTTGTGACATTAAATATCTAAACTGTTTAAATATTCTACAGAATATTAAAATAGTAATTTATGTTAAAATGATTATTATCATGATTACAGAATTGGGATCATACTAGACATACAATTTGGCATTCTACCCTTTTTGTTTAATATTACTGAGAGCAGGAGCTTCTTCTATCCCTGTGCAGATGGGGTATGTCACCCTCTTGGTGTAGATATATTGCACACTAATGCACACCCAGAGAGTAACACACCCCATCTTCACAGGGATAGAAGAAGCTCCTGCTCCCAGACCTAGAACTACGTGTGTCTTCATTTGGTGTTTATCTGTATCGTTTATTATAACCTCTAATAAACCGGTAAGTGTAAGTTAAATGTTTCCCTGAGTTCTGTGAGCCATTCTAGCAAATTAATCAAACCTGAGGAGGGCTTCTTTTCTGCCAGAACTGCCATCTTCCAGTAATTCACCAAAATGACTAACACAAAGGGAAGAGGAGAGATATCAGTTATATGTTCTCTAGGCCTTTTAGAAAACGGAGTTGTTCCTTTGGCTACATACATGCCAATTTACAAGAAAGGTGATAATGTAGATATCAAGGGAATGCGCACTGTTCAGAAAGGAATGCCCCACAAATGTTAGCATGGCAACACTGGAAGAGTCTACAACGTCATCCATCATGTGGTGGGCATTGTTGTAAACAAACTAGCTAAGGGCAGGGTTCTTGCCAAGAGAATTAATGTATGAATTGAGCATATTAAGCACTTGAAGAGTCTAAATAGCTTCTTGAAACGTGTGATGGAAAATGATTAGAAAAAGAAGGAAGCCAAAGAGAAAGGTACCTCGTTCAGCTGAAGTGTCAGCCTGCTCCACCCAGAGAAGCACACTTTGTGAGAACTAATGGAAAGGAGCCTGAGCTGTTAGAAGCCATTCCCTAAGAATTCATGGCATGATAAGTGTGAAAAAAATAAAAGACTTCTATACTGATTAAAAAAAAACCTGAGGAGGGGATCATGGGAATTTCCAATCTATAGCCAAATAAGACAGACGTTGTGGGTAACTATTTGTGGCTGGCATCTGAAGTGGGTGCAAACAATCTTGGGGAACTAATCCTTGGGGGACTGGGTGGGATCTGACATTATCTCTAGGTAGAGATAGTTGAGTTAAATTACAGGACATCCAACTGATGTTGCAGAGAATTGCTTGTTATAGGCAATAAAGAAGTGAAGTGTTGTGAGTGTGGTAGTAATGAGTGTGGTAGTAGTAAAGGGGACACACACAGAAGAACTGTATTTCCCTTTAAAATATTATGGAAAAATTCCTGTATTTTTGAATAGTCTTCAAAATATAATTTTAAATTGTTGCATAATATTTCAGATGTCCACTAATTTATGTAACACCCTCCAAGGAATTTTTAATATTTGAGTTGCTTCTATTCTTTAGTTTCATAAGTAACCCTGTAAAACAAAGTTCTTTGAACATAATTTTTTAATATACCTCATTTATGCTTACATTAAATTCCAAAAAGTATAATTTCCAGGTCATGGATACACATATTTTTAAGGCACTTTATGTATATTGCTAAACTGATCACTGGAAAGTTTGTAATAACTGACAACTCTCTATGTTCATGATCACAGGAATGGCTTTTTAAAAAGTGAAGATGTAAAAGTACCTTACAAGTACACTTGAAATAAAGGGGAAATTTATATATGATTCTCCATTCATTTGATGAATATTTTTTTCTTTAAAGGTGTCAGGAAGATAGGACCTTTTGGTAGAGTGGGAAGAGGGCCAGACCTTTTAACTATTTAATCTTAAATTTTCTGAATTTGTTTCCTCATCTATAATGTGAGGATAATAATATTTGCCATGGTAAACATAGTGTTTTGTGAGGATATGTGTAAACGTGCTCTGAAAACTATAATGTCATACAGATGGAAAGTAGTATATTTATTAGTCATTATTGACATGTAGACAGATTTGATACATAAATCATTAGACTTTTTAAGGTATCAGTAACTTTTTAATATCTTAAACCTAATTACCAATAGTTTTCTACATTTTCAAACTTGTATAGTCAGAAAAATAATTTTTCACTCAATTATCTTTAGTTTTATTGTATTTACTTCAAAATAATAAAACAATCATTTGGTCATATAGACGACTATGGGTCTTTTGCCAATTCCAGTTACTTAGTTTGTCTTAGAAAATAAATTACCATAGAAACAAAAATATCTGTTAGAAATTTCTATGTAATCTAAAAATATTTGGCATGTGTACAACAAACCTGAGTGCATTTTCAACTTGCTTAAACCAACATCTTTTTTTTCTCATTTTTTTATTTAGTTATTTTTTAAGTACAGTTTTTTGTCTATTTCTCCCATCAACATCTTTTTCAAATTCTTTTTCAAAGTTATTCTTATGGATTTTCATTAAAAAGACAGTTTGAAGATCAGTCTGAATAATTATGAGCAAATGAAAGAAAAGCCAAGAACAAAATTTGGTGAACCTAAAACTTGGTGAACACCTACTGTGAGTCTTCACAGGGAGTAAGAATAAGGAGAGAGGAAAGACTATGGCAGAAAGGAGAAAAGAATAACTTTAAACACTAAATTTTTAAAAAGGTAATGGGTAGCAAAGAACCCTGTGACTTGTGCCTATAAGAAATTTAGCCCATCTCATTAGGACTCTAGTCCATCTCTATCACTATAGCTCCCAGTTATTCTGGTTATTGCATTTGGCAAGAACTTCAGTCTTTAAGGAATTCAGTTTCTGCACTTGCATTTTATTAAATGTCATTATTTGCAGTGTGTTTTTGCTGAAAACTTAGAGAATAATTTGTAGGAGGAGTAAGTTGTGCCAAATGGGAAATAATAAGCAGCAAAGAAGAAAAAAAATATTTCCTTTTTCATTTTTTAAAATTACCCACAGAATAAAAAATAAAAGAGACCTTATAGAGTCATTCAGTACAATCTTGCTTCATCTTATGTTTGAAGAAATATGTCCAGCCCTGGCTGGTGTGGCTCAGTGGATTGAGTGCAAGCCTGTGAACCAAAAAGGGTCGCTGGTTCATTTCTCAGACAGGGCAATGCCTGGGTTGCAGGGCAGGTACCCAGTAGGGGGAGCAGGAGAGGCAACCAGACATTGATGTTTCTCTCCCTCCCCCTCCTCCCTTCTTTCTGAAAGTAAATAAATAAAAATCTTAAAAAAAAATAAAGAAAGCAATAGGTCCAGGTGACACTGATAAACCAGTGGCAGAGCCGGGAAAGTAATCAGTCCCATGGTCTTCTCCTTGTATTATGTTGACTTTTTTTTTGTATCTTATTTTAGTCCTAAAACCGAGAATCGTTTTGTCGACAAAGAGCGTGATGCTACTGTCAACACAAGTCCTGATCTTTCTGATTTTTCTCGGTAATTTAGAGTCAGTGTTATCCCTAAAATAAAAATACAGTACTTTACATTGCAATTCCGTGGCCTGTGCTCTGGGTTCACATCCGTGACCTCATTTGATCCTTACAAAAAACTTTGAGGCAAGTCAAGGAAGGTATTATTGACCTCAATTTAACAGCGAACAGTTAAAATACAGAGACGTTCAGTAACTGGCCTACGATCATTTAGTATCATAATGAGGTAGGACTTTTAACTCTATTCCAATGCAGTCTGTTAAAGAGGAAGTTCCCACACAGTAACAATCTGGTTTTATCCTCCTGCCAAGGGATTCTACATCCCTTGGAGAATTTACTAAAGTTTGGACCTAACCACCCACTGAAGGTACTCCTAGTTTGCATCCATTTCTCACCTTTAAAACCGCAGTTTCTTACTTCTTCCCTTGGTACTGATCCTTACTTAAGGTCTTATGTTTCTCTGTGGGATACGGCCTCCAGCGTCTCACTCTACAGCTCCACCCTCTCCAATGAAGTAGCGTCCTCAGTATCCAAGGGAACCACAAAGCCTTGCCCACCATGTCCCTTCCGCGCTTTCCATTGGCCAGCTTAATTCACGTGTAGATTTCTCTTTCTGCCCTTCCAATGGCTAAGGAGGAGAAGAACGCGCGCCTTTCGAGCTCTAAAACTTATCACTTTTAACCCTGCGCGTTGCCTCTTGGGATATGTAGTTTATGAGGAGCCCGGAACCCTTCGAGGTCGGGCTCCCTTAGAACTAACTATCCCGTCTGCCCTTGCGAAAGGGAAGGTGGTAGTTGAGAAGTCTGGGTCAGGTTGGATATTTAGAGCTTTGAAATTACAACTTGCTGTTGAGTCGTGTAACGTTTGAGGTGTAAACTGTTTGACACAGTGAGCAGTCTTACTCTACTTTCAGCAACCCCTTGCAAATATCGCCCTTTTGACTTGAGCCGGAGCAGTGCCGAGTGGTCTGACAGGGGATCTGCTGCAGGCCAGAGGGGCGCGCCATGTTCGCCCCCGGCGCGGGCTGGAGGCTCCACAGCCTCCGGCTCGGTCACCTCCGGCTCGGTCACCACCGAGGGCGGGCCGGTGAGGCCCTGGGGTGCCGGGCGTATGGGGCTCGTCAGGCCCGATGCTATGGCTCTGGTGGGGGCAAGCGCCCTCCCGGGGCCGAGCCCGAGGGCCCTCCGCCGAGCCCAGCGCGCGGAACTCTGAGGGAGTGGATGCTGCTGGTGAGCCCGTTTGGACGGCTGCGGGCGCGGCTTCCGTGCCACCTGGCGGTGAGGCCACTGGACCCCTTGACCTACCCGGATGCCGACCGCGTGCTAGTGGTTGTGAGCGGAGCGGAGGGCGGGGCGCAGGCCCTGGCTGGCCTGCAGGTGAAGTACGACGAGGCGCTGGAGGAGGTGGCCATTGAGTCTGACACCCTTGACCCCCAGGCGTCCGTGGAGGTGCAGGCGCCCCTGAAGTTTGGCAAGTGCAGTGAAGTTTAAATGGGTTTGGGTCCCAGGTCGACGTGCACTTTTAGATGATCCCTTTGGATGTGACTTTCTAATTTACATTTTTTCCCCGTAAAAGTTGCCGCTTTTTTTCTATTCTACTTTGAGTTTCCCAGTCATAGAAATTTTATAAATAGAATGGAAACGTGATTTGGAATAATATATCTCAAATAACCTTCGTGTTCTCCGCACTTTGTTCCTATTTATGTCACTGCATCTTGTCAATAGAAAAGTGGTTTATTTTTCAGGTTTGAGGTTTCTTGATAATCCCTTCAATAGAATGGCAGTCCATCCACATTTCCCCTGGTTTACAGCCTGGGGTCTGTCCCCAAAACTGCCCAGTGTATTAGATGTTCCATTTCCAATCTGGACGCAAGTGTTCGGTTTCAAGTAAGCACCCAGCTTCTTACTTATATGTCTTCATTCATTTTGGCCTAAGTAAAATTTCCACGAGTACTATGTTTTGAAGAAAAACACAGAGTAAAACTGCTTGGGAAACTGCGATTGATAATGCTTACAAGATATGTTTCCTGGGTGGCTGGGTTGGGTGCCATTTATCAAGTGCAAACCAGCACTTTCCTAGGAAAGTTTCCCCAAGTTCTGGTTCTTGAGACTGAAGGCTGGTACTACTGATGATCATACCAGCAACTAACACTTACAAAGTAATCTTTTCTAGCCTTTACAGTTGCACTTATACGGTAGATAGTTTTGTCACTATTTCAGGTAAGGAAATTGAGATACAGCAAGTTTCATGAAGTATGTATTTATTGTGGGTGGGCAAATACAAAAAATCATGAAATTTATATTCTAGTGAGGTTAGATCAAGAAATATGCCTGTTTGCTCTCAGATAAAAAGTGGTGGAACTGGGATTTGAACTGACTGGAGTCTACTGAACCAGTATGGTTTATTGCTTCTCAACTTGTAACCAGCTTAGGTGAATGAGACCCTTGACCATGTTTGGGGTGAAGAGGATGATTTCCAGTATATTATTGTGATACAAAATAAATTTGTATATTTAAATAGAAATATACAAGATTTTATGGCAGCACAGATAAAAATGGAACTACCTGTGTTGGTGATCCCCAACTTCATTTTTGTTGATTAAACCCCATTTACAATAGACTATTTCCATGTGTCTATTCCATAAGCTCCTTAAATCAACATAATTCAGTTTTCTTCATACTTGTTCCTCCAGTTTATCTAGACTTGTTTTAATGAATGGGTGAGAGTAACATTACTGCCATTCAGTGTCTAGCCTTAACTTCTATATCTGTCTAGGGAGGGCAGAGTATATTTAGAATGTTTCCTTCTTTCCATGTCCATCAATGCTGCCTTAGCTCAAGGCTTATGTTGTAAAAACTGGGTAAAAATTTTTGCAGTTACATTGCATCCATAAAAGTGTGAGATAAAATCATCTTTCTGTATATTTTAGATTAGTCCCAACTAAAATATTGCTGTTATTTTAAGCCTTTATAGAGTAGAGACTGCAATATTCACAACTGTAGGAATTAATTTTTATGCCATAACTATTGAAATTGTAGTGTTATACCCCAGTAATTTGTGTTTGGAGCAATATAATATTTGCTAGTCTGGTTTAAGGTAAATCATCATATTTATTTGAATTAGGTATTAAGTATCAGTGTTTATTATCTTTTTATTTTATGTAGAGACAACTAAGATTGTAGCTTAAAAATTGATAGCCAAGGTTGGCACTTGTGACTCTTGTTTTACAGTTTTCTTCAGATAATACTGTTACCCACAATTTTGAAGTTTTAATACCATTTATCACTGGATTTTTCAACATTGTTCCCATTTCTTATTACTGAAAATAGCTTTGATATAGCTGCATGGTAATACCCTCTTTTTTAGATACAGAAAGTTAGAGATAGGATTTTAGGTCCTGATCATATATGTTGATCTATGCTACTTCTGCAAAATGCTTTTAATTTGGAGGAGGTTTGGGGAACAAATTTTTGAATCTTCATAAATATAAGAAAGAATAGGCTAACTGACTTATCCAGTCTACCACAATGACTTACTAACTAACTTGTATTCTTACTAGAACTCTGTGATGTGTATTTTCTCAGTGGGAAAGAAGAGTGCCTTTAAGATTTGGAGTTTCTAACCTCCTCTAGTTTCCTTTGTGTTAGCTTTCTCTCTTTAGATGATCTTGAACAACAGAAGTAACTGCTGTTTTTCTAAAAATGGCAGAAAAAGGCATTACATTTGGCCCTGATGCCATGGGGGGAGACCCCTTACCTTTAGAGAGAGACTGCTGACAACTATGTTCTCTCCAGGGTTCTGTAACATGAACATAACAGAGAAGCTTGATTTCTAGGAGTATTACAAATGCTTTGGCGCCCATTAACCATAGTACTAACTTGTATTTTTTTTTCATTTCTAGATTTGAATATCAAGTCATCAGGGTCTGGCTGTATCAAAGTCCAAAATATTGAGTGTGATAATTGCAAAGTTGAAACTGAGCAGGGGACTAGCATCTTACAGTCTGTTAAGGTATAAGCAGTTTTCTAATTATTGTTTCAGCATTATTTTTTAAACAATAACCTTAAACTATGAACTACTATATCAGACTAAAGCTGTTATTCTGAATATCATTTATTGCAAATACTGAATCTAAATGATCATCAATAATCTTGGTAAAGATTCTATTATATTCCATTTGACTTCAGACTTGTGTCACTATGGGCATGAAGTAGTCTATTATGCTATAATACAGATAAACTTCTTCAGAATGATTCATTATGCCTTTTTAAATAACTTTTTTCAAATTCATTTTTTAAAATTTTGTTTTACCTGAGGTTCTCCCCTTTTTTATCCTGAATAAAGCAACCATAAAGTAAATGGGTTGTTCTGAATGTTTTTACTCCCTATGTTTTAGACATTCTTTGCTATTGCTGGTCATGATATTGGTGAGTTTACTTGTTCAATTTTTCTTTCTCTGCTATTTACTTACTCTTTTTCTCTTTATAATTGTGGCAGAACCGAAGACATATGTAACTGTAAGACAAGGTAAAGTTAGCTACCCCCCAAAATAGACTGAACATCTAATGGTTTATATGCAGTTGTAGTTCTCATTTGTGTCCAGATGTGTGGGTGGCTCTTTCATATTTAGTGAAATGAAAAAGTCTAAGTTCCTTCCATCTTCTGGCTCTACCATCTTAGAGTCTTATTGTATCTACACTCATCTGGTGGGAGGGGCAGAGTACAAAGAAGGCACACCAACTCTTCTAAATGCACAAGTTTGGAAATTGCTCATAGCATTTCCATTTACATTCTTTTGGCAAAACTTATTGGCAGGAACTTTTGGCAAGTAACACCTAAGAGGTGAGAGAAGCTGGGAAATACTGTCTCTTCGTGGGCTCATCTACACTCCTATTAAGTACTTGGAAAACAAAGGATTTTTGTGGCCCTGTAGTTTTTTGCCACAGTTGCCAAATGTGAGATCAAGTTAAACACACATATACACTCTCTCTTTTTTTTTTTTTGCTGGCAGAGGAGGCAATTTGTGACTGTTATTTTATTTGTGCTTAGAGGAATTTTTACTTAGTTTCAGTTTCTGGGGTGTCATGCTACAAAGTTTAACAGTCAGTGGGGCTGTTATGCTAAGTATGAATATATCCTTCAGATGAATCCAGCCATAAGAGTGTGGGTTTCGAAATTATACAGAGCTTGATTCTGTTAGATTATGTTGTTTTTGTAACCATGCAGCTGATAAAAAGTTAATGAACTTTTCTGAATCTTGGATTTTTCTGTAAAATTGGGAAAATATGATACCCATTTCTCTGTTATTATGAGGATTAAATGATAATGTAAAGTAGTAAATACTGTATTTTGATATAAAGTAATGTGAGATAACTGATAAATATTACAATGAACATTAATAACAATGAACAGTAGCAGTGATTATTGTTGTTATCATCATTTATGTTGTGTTTGCCAGTCTGTGATCTTTGATTCCCAAGTTGTTTTTCATGAAAAGTGAAGCTACTGCAACACCCAGGTAGCTCTTTTTTTCCCCTTCGGATCCATGGGGCTTATTTAATCTCCTTAACAGCAGTTAACATTCTTTTTGAGTTGATGTTATTCCAAATAATGTATTTCTATTTAATTACTGGTTCCTCTTTTCACTTTGTTACTATTTAAAAAGAAATATATAAATGTTAGGAATCTTTTTATTAGTGTAAATCAAATTTATTTTCTTTTCCTCTATGTGTATTTTTGTATTTGTCTTTCAGAGTCAAAAATTACATGTCCAAACAAAAGGAGGCAAAGTGATCTGTGTGGGAACAGTTTATGGAAATATAGATATTCATGCATCAGATAAAAGTGTAAGATTGAAATTTTCATTTTTTAGTTATTACAGTTTTATATCAAGTTGGCTCATAACAGTGGGTAGGTTCCACAAAATTTGTGGCATAACTTTCCCTTTTTACTACATTTTAGTTCATTAGTAATTTAAATTTCAAATTGAGATGATTAAATATTATACAATTTACATTTTAGTTTGTGATGTAATACTTTTGACAGTTATTTAGTTTCTTATTTGGAATCAATAACATCTCTACATACTTAATATTTTAGTTCTGGAGAGATATTTGTGATCATGGATTAAAGCTGATCATTAATTAATACACCATAACTAGGAATTTTTATTATGTGTTAGGTTTATTTGAGTATTTTTTCAAGACCTGTTTACTTTGCCTTTAGGCAATTGAAGGATCTGCTTCAAAACTCAACTTTCTTCAGTTTTTCCACAAGATGGCACCACTATATAGCATTACTGTTCTCCAAAATCTTTTATTAGCCATAGGGATTTTGGTTGCTGTAAGATAGTTTGTATTTTTTTAAATTGTATTTTAGTGATTATGCTATTACAATTGTTCCAATTTTTTCCCTCTTTATCTGCCTCTGCCCAGTACCCCACTTCCCTCCAGCAATGCCCTCCCTTAATACATATCCATGGGCCATGCCTGTAAGTTCTTTGGTTTCTCCATTTCCTCTACTATCCTTGACATTCCCCTGTCTATTTTGTCCCTACCAATTATATTTCTTAATCTTTGCACCTTTCCCCCCAATCTTCCTCTACCCCCCCCCAGCTGATAATCCCCCAAATGATCTCTATATCTATGATTCTGTTCCTATTTTGATTGTTTGCTTAAGTTGTTTTTTTTTAGATTCAGTTTCAAGGACTTGCATCCTAGATTATTTTATCCAGCAAAGCTATTATTTAGAATGGAAGGGCAGATAAAGTGCTTCCCAGACAAGCTAAAGCTAAAGGGCTAAAATGTTAAAAGGACTTACTTAAGAAAAAGAGGATCAAAACTATGAACATTAAAAGTTTGTGTTTTTGAGCCAACTTTTGTTGCTTTTTTGTGATCTAGCGTAGTATTAAGAATAAAGGTATAATTTTTTTATTCAGTACTTTATTTTTTTGTTTAATCTTTATTGTACTTTTTTCATTACCATTTAGTCCACTTATACCCCTCACCCCCAGCAGTCGCCACACTGTTGTCCATATCCATGAGTTCTTTTTCCTTTTTGCTCAGTCCCTCCACCTGCTAACCTCCCTACCCCCACTAGCTGTCATCTTCTCTCTTTCTAGGATTCTGTCTCTGTTTTGCTTGTTAGATCAGTTTGTTCATTAGATTCCACATTTGAGTGAAATCATATTGTATTTGTCTTTCTCTAACTGGCTTTTTTCATTTAACATAATATTCTCCAGGTCTATCTATAATGTTGCAAAGGGTAAAATTTTCTTTTTTACAGCTGACTAGAATTCCATTGTGTAAATGTCCCATAGTTGTTTTATCTACTTATCTACTGGACACTTGAGCTGCTTCTGTGTCTTGGTGATTATAAATTACACTGCAGTGAACATAGGACTGCTTATATTACATGTAGAAAAATGAAACTAGACCACCTTCTTACACCACACACAAGAGTAAATTCAACATGGATCAAAGACAAATGTTAGACCCCAAACCATAAAAATCCTTGAAGAAGACATAGGCAGCAAAATCTCCGACATTGCTTATAAAAAATTTTTATTGCATACATTTTTCTAGGCAAGGGAAACAAAAGAAAAAAATAAATGAATGTGTAATTTTGAAGTATAAACAGTCACAGATTTTTAAACATGATTGATAATGTTTTAAATCAGAAAGATCTAAGTCACCTATTACCTTCCACTTACACAGTTTGTGAGTGTCTTTTGTTATAAATTTGTTAAATTCCATGTTCAGCTGTATCCCAGGTAATTGTCAGGGAAAAGTTGTGAGTATATCTTATAGGTAGATTACTGTTGGCATAATTAAACAAGATTATAACACCAATTGTTTCCATTGTTGTCACTTTTATTTTCTGTCATCAACCTGTGGGAGATGATTAAACCCACACATTTAAACTTATCCTTAAATTAAACCAGGAAAGTATTGAAAGATACTGCCTTGCCTTATGTGACAGCTCTTTTGAGATGGCGTTTATTTTCTCCTCTCACATTGCTGTAGTCTTGGAGATACAAAAGGGAAATTGGACCACTTTATACCTCCTTCAAATTCTGTCCTTTATTTTTTGTTTTTATTCTTTAAAAATATATTTTATTGATTATACTATTATAGTTGACCCATTTTTTTCTCCCCTTTATACCCCTCTGCCATGTACCAGCCCCACTCCCATCGCTCCTCCTCCTTAGTTCATGTACATGGGTCATACATACAAGTTCTTTGGCGTCTCTATTTTCTATACTGTTCTTAACCTCCCCCGTCTATTTTGTATCTACCATTTATACTTCTTATTCCCTGTGCCTTTTCCCCCATTCTCTCCACTCCCCTTCCCCACTGATAACCCTCTATATGAACTCCATTTCTGTGAATCTGTTCCTGTTCTAGTTGTTTGCTTAGTTTGTTTTCTTTTTTAGGGTTTGGTTGTGAGTTTGTTGTTATTTTACTGTTCACATTTTTATCTTTTTCTTAGATAAGGCCCTTTAACATTTCATATGATAAGGGCTTGGTGATGATAAACTCTTTTAACTTTACCTTGTCTGGGAAGCACTTTATCTGCCCTCCCATTCTAAATAGTAGCTTTGCTGGATAGAGTCATCTTTGATGTAGGTTCGTGTCGTTCATGACTTCAAATTCTTCTTTCCAGCCCCTTCTTGCCTGCAAGGTTTCTTTTGAGAAATCAGCTGATAGTCTTATGGGAACTCATGTGTAGGAAAGTGTCTCCTTTTGTCTTGCTGCTTTTAAGGTTCTCTCCTTATCTTTCTTCTTAGCTAATATAATTATGATGTGCCTTGGTGTGTGCTTCCTTTGGTCCACCTTCTTTGGGACTCTCTGAACTTCCTGGAAGTCTGTTTCCTTTGCCAGATTAGAGAAGTTCTCCTTCATTATGTCTTCAAATAAGTTTTCAATTTCTTGCTCTTCTACTTCTCCTTCTGCACCTCTGTGATTCAGATGTTGGAATGTTAAAAGTTGTCCCTGAAGTTCCTAAGCCTCTCCTAATTTTTTTTGAATTCTTGTTTCTTCACTGTATTGTGGTTGAATGTTTATTTCTTCCTTCTGCTCCAAATCGCTAATTTGAGTCCATTTCTTTCTCTTTACTGTTGGTTCCCTGTACATTTTCCTTTATTTCACTTTGTATAGCCTTCACTTTTTCCTGTATTTTGTGACCGTAGTCAACCAGTTCTGTGAACATCATGATTACCAGCTTTTTGAAATCTGTATCTGATAGGTTAGCTATATCTCTTCATTGCTTAGTTGTATTTTTTCTGGAGCTTTGATCTGTTCTTTCATTTGGGTCATATATTTTTGTCTTGCTATGCCTATTACGTAGTAAGGGGCAGAGCCTTAGGTATTTGCCAGGGTGGTGCAACCCATGTTGCCGCTTTTTGTGGGCACTGTGGGGAAGGTGCCAAGGGGGAACCTGAGAAGCTTTCAGTTACTTCCCCAGCTACCCACAAACAAATTAGGACCTTCCGGTGCTGATTCCCAGGTGGGTGAGTTTGTGTATGTTGTAGGACCCTGTGGTTTCTCCAGTGAACTCTCCTGTGAGGCTGGGAATTTTTCCTGCTGCCTCAACCTCCACAGGTTGTTTCAGACAGAGGTTTTGAGGTTTTATTTCCCTGCGACAGAACCCTGGGTTGCATGGTCTGTCTTGTTCCCCTGTTGTTTCTCCCAGTTTGTCCACACACAAATGTGGGACAGCCCAGTCCACCAGCTACCACCTTGCCTGGTGTGCCAGCTGCCACCTTGCCTGCCCTGGTCCTCCAACCGCTACTTGCTGTGAGTCCTCTCCACCCAGACTGCCTGTCTCTGCCCCTCCTACCAGTCTGGATGAATGTTTCTTTAACTCCCTGGTTGTTGTGCTTACATACAGTTTGATTTTCCGGCAGTTCTGGTTATCTTTTGTTTTCAAATTTGTTGTCCTTTTGGTTGTGCAAGGAGGCAAAGTGTATCTACCTACACCTCCATCTTGGCCAGAAGTCCAAATTCTGTCCTTTACATGATGGCTTATGTTATGTGAAATGATCTAAGTTACTAGAATATTACATGTTGACATTCAAGTGTAAGTATTGAAGAATTTAAATAATCTCTTAATTATTTGCTCTTTTGAATATTTTGGCCACTGTTTACACTCATTATTTCTTCCAACTTGCATGGTTAATTGCATATTCAATTTATTCCTACTTTCTATGATACTGTTTTGTTTCTTGCTTGAGTTTTGTGTTGTACTAAAGATTCAGTGTAGCTATTTCTTTATATTACAATGTTAATTTTTAAAGCATATTTCTAAGTTTATGGGTTTTTTATTGACCTGTGCACCGGCCTGCAGTGCCCAAGACGCCATGGATGAGATATGAGACAAATTCACATGGACTACCGAGTCCTGTGGAGGAAAAGGGATGGCACGGCTACTCCCTCAAGGGGGGGAGCACCTCAGGAGCACCCCCTGGCAACTCTCTCAAGGGGAGAGCGTGCCTACCCTTGCCTAGACAGGCTTTTATGGGTTTAATTTGTGCAGGAATATAGGTACAACTTATTGATCATTGTCAGGCAGTAAGACTCAAATGATAGATAGCATACAGGGAACTATTACTGCTTCTTCTGAGTCCGGGAGTATCAGCCGAAAGGCTACAAAACTTTGGGAAACAAACTCATTTCCTGCTTGGGCCTTTATCATTTAACTAAGAGTGTTCTTAGTAAAGCAGGTTTCACAGGATTTTATGTATCCTTTCTCAGGCCTGATTTCCCTGGGAGCCTGCACTTTCCAGCACAGGGCCGCACCGCCCTCTGTCATTGTTTCAGACTTAAGTCAGGCAGAGGAGGCAGAT